TTAATGCAATAGAATTCTGATTCACACATTTTCTATGCATTGTTACTGCCACAAGTCTTTCACTAACCTGCCCTCTTGTGGTAAAATATTGCAAGTGCATTTAACTTATGTAAATAATATCAAAGCTTGAAAGGCTTAAAATGCGAGAGAAATCAGGGACCAGTGGCATAAGCATAGCCACCATGTTAAAAGTGTTTCTTAAGAACTAGTCTGACTGACTAGAAATTAGCCAATGGGTAGTTAATTAGTCTTACCTTTCAGATTTAAATGAGACACATCTACCTTTTTGTGTAACTGATTATGACCAGTAAAACAGATAACTTGTAAGACTAGCCTAAGCAGTTTACCAAGCCCGGCCCTGAATGATATTCTACATCAGATGAATCATATTTAGCGACAGCAGGGATGTTCACACGCATATGTGCTCCAGTTTTGACCGAAAGGATCAGCAGTGAATTAGTCTGGTCTGGCTTGTCGAGTGGCTGTTCAAACTTGCTGGCTGACTGGAAATCAGCACACCGCGCTTTACAAGGAAACTTCGAAACTTCTTTACAACCAAACCGGCGTTTTTATACAAATCTAACAGTATAAACGACGCTATTTATACGCACCAAAACGCCGTGAAATACGGCGTGTTTTTACGCGGTTGTTAAGACATTTTGACTTAAGTTACCGCGGCGATATGACAGTTTAGAATGCAGCAAAAACGGAAGTAAACGCTGAGTGCATAAATCTGAGCCGTTTGTTTTTCTTGTCCTGTAGCTTCGTAAGAGTCAAACTGTGAGTGTTGACCTGTTTTTATACAGTCTATGGTGTTTACGCGTTAAACCTTTGACGCGTTTCGTTTTTAGTTTTTTGTCCCTTATGGCCGCTCTTACATCAGCTCTTCTAGTGATGCGCCCTCGTGCGCTCGCGACAGACTCGAGTTTGCTGCTGGCACTGGCAGGACTGACGCAGCGGTGCGTATCGTTACCTGCGCAGCTCGAGACACTGTTCATATGTTTGACAACACAACACCCGCGAATATCTGCGAGCCTTACGTCTTGTGTTTTATAATCTGCTCCTGTGTTCTCAGGTTGGTTATAGACTTGTTTTCTCTTCAGATTTAACGGTGGATTATGTTCACGTTAACAAATGTGTTATAACTAGACCCTCTAGGTAAGTTACATAAATGTGGTATACACTTGTGCACGTCTAATATTGTGTACATTTAAAGAGTTTTATTTATAAAGGGACGTGTCCGACAAACCCAAAAGAGCACGTAATAGAAGGTGCATAACGTTAGTCCAGACTGTGTCTACAATTTTGCGGTTGGAGATAAAAAGCTGTGCAGAAGGATATATAGACAGTAACGTTACAGGCCATCTATGGTCTATACAGATAGGTACGTTTAGTAACAGTAATGCCAGTGTGCACAAAGAAACTGAAGGATATACAGACAAATTAGAGTAATTACCAGCCATGTGTGTATTTTCAGGAGTTTTCTGCAGGACAGTTGTTTGTTTATGTGTAAGCTGTTTTATTCAGAGGTTGCTCAAATGTGTTTTTAACAGGTGTTTGTGTAGTTCAGTGGCTGGTGGGGCGTCCATGGCAGAGGAACCTTTAGTCACCGCAGGGAATAACTTCCCACTGGATTACAGGCAAGAGCAAGATGTTACGTGTTCCAGACGGGACTCTCATGGGTGCTTTGTGAACCCCTGGACAACATGGCAGTTCCCCTCCTACAGCACCATCGCTCGCCTGTTCCTCACAGAGAAGAACAACAGTAATGTTCCCAGTGCCAAAGAGGTGAACACACACTCATAAGAAATGCATTGAATCAGCAGTGTGGAATTTAAAATGTCACACAAAGGATATTCCTGAGCTTTAAAACATTGATTATTTAAATAAACATTTGACAGAATAAATAATTAAATAATTAGCAGAACTAATTAACAGAACAAACATTTGATTATTTTGTTTAGGTCTCTGGAACTCTGGGTATAGAGGATTTTAAAGTATAAAAATGGCAGCTAAGTGGCATATAATATTTAATTATATGTTACAAATTAATTCGCTTTGAATGGTGAAATATTGTTTCTAAAGGAACATAACTTCAGTATACTGTTACACTAAAATTATACATTTATATGTTTATATTTTAAGTCATATTGAATTTTATATTTATACATTTTATGTTTAGAATTACATATCGTGCATTTATTTAAAAAAAAACTAAAACTAAAAAATGTTTTTGTGTTCTGTCTTAAGGTTCTTGACTGTGAGTTGCCGATTCAGGAGCCATATTTCGTGCAGAGGCCAGACCAGTGTGGGCAGACAGGCCCATCTGTGAGAGCGACCTGGCTGGGTCATGCCACTGTACTGGTGGAGATGGAAGGACTGGTGTTTCTGACTGACCCCATGTTCAGCCAGAGAGCCTCTCCAGTGGCATTCATGGGCCCAAAGCGTTACCGTGACCCGCCTTGCACCATAGAACAGCTTCCTCGCCTGGACGCAGTGGTGATCAGTCACACACACTACGATCACCTCGACGCAGACTCTGTGGCAGCTCTGAACGCTCGCTTCGGTTCCAGTTTGCGCTGGTTTGTGCCGCTCGGGTTGGCCGAATGGATGCAGAAGGCAGGCTGTGAGAATGTCACAGAGCTGGACTGGTGGGTAGGAAACCGCATTCCCGGGCACGACAATGTCACATTCTTTTGCACACCAGCACAGCACTGGTGCAAACGCACTCCTGTGGATGACAACAAAGCATTATGGGGAAGCTGGACAGTCGTAGGCCCACATTGTCGTTTCTTCTTCGCTGGAGATACGGGATACTGTTTGGCATTTAAAGAGATTGGAAAACGCTTCGGACCATTCGACCTGGCTGCCATCCCGATTGGAGCATACCTGCCCAGGTAAGACTGTAAAGAACAGTTTGATTCCTAATCTAGTTGTCAAATAAACCTTATTTGATATTATGAATGTTGTTGGCTCCTTGATGAATTACTTTTGGTCCTCTTTTGTCAGAAAAGCAGGTGTGTATTTGAAGTACATTAATGATATAACTTGTGTTCTTAGAGGAATCATGAAGTCTCAGCATGTGGACCCTGAAGAGGCTGTTCAGATTCACATGGACATTCAGGCCAAAACATCGCTGGCCATTCACTGGGGGACGTTTGCTTTAGCCTATGAGGTATGAGCCTGTCTGTCTCTCCCACACGTTCATTCTCTCAGTGTGAATGGCCTCCACTGAGCTGGCCAGCTGTCACTGCTCTGATTGTGTGTAATTGTTGTCCAGCTGTGCTTGGGGAGTCCAGTCTTTGTTGTTGTATTGCGTCAGGCTTCACTGCTGTGCCTACGCATTCATGCTTCTCTGAGGGAGAGTCTAGCCTGAAGAAGCATTTAGACATTTTTGAGCAGGTTTTCCAGATTAGAGTTCAAATAGTTAGCTGATTTAGTCAGCTTAGAAAACTTGTTTTACTGTGGTTTAGGATTAGGTCTTGTTATGCATGTTATATTTATGTTATTCTGAGGATTAATAAGGGGAGAGAACACATTTTTGGGCCTTTGTTTAAGCTCTAGGTATTCAGTTAGGATTAGGGATGTTTTGCAGTTCAGGCCCTTTACAAAAGTTTTTTTCAGTTTATTTAATTTTTTTTAAATTACAGTAGAAAACAGTTAATTTAAACTGTAATTATATGTGTGACCCTGGAGCACAAAACCAGTCTTAAGTCGCTGGGGTATATTTGTAGCAATAGCCAAAAACACATTGTATGGGTCAAAATTATCGATTTTTCTTTTATGCCAAAAATCATTAGGATATTAAGTAAAGATCATGTTCCATGAAGATATTTTGTAAATTTCTTACCATAAATATATCAAAACTAAATTTTTGATTAGTAATATGTATTGCTAAGAACTTAATTTGGACAAATTTAAAGGCGATTTTCTCAATATTTAGATTTTTTTGCACCCTCAGATTCCAGATTTTCAAATAGTTGTATCTCGGCCAAATATTGTCCTATCCTAACAAACTATACATCAATGGAAAGCTTTTTATTCAGCTTTCAGATGATGTAGAAATCTCAATTTCGAGAAATTGACCCTTATGACTGGTTTTGTGGTCCAGGGTCACATATTTCACAGTATTACTGTTTTACTGTATTTTCGCTCGCATAAATGCAGTTTTGGTGACCATAAGAGACTTCTTTCAAAAAAAACAAACAAAACAAAAAAAAAAATATATATACATAATTTTACAGATTTCAAACTACATGCTGTTCTGTTCTTTTCTCTCTCTCTCAGCATTATCTTGACCCTCCAGCATGTTTGCGTGAGGCTATGGTGAATCATGGATTGAATCCAGATCTGTTCTTCATTCTTCATCACGGAGAGTCACGGAAGATCAACCACAAGGACACATCCTAAACAGAAACCCAGGAAGTATGCAGACACATATATATGATGATGCTTTACACAGGCTGCATTTTTATAAATTATTTTACAGCTGCAGATTGTGCTGATCCAGTGGCTGGACTCTGGATTTAATGCAATACGAATGTTAAAAAAATTATTTCTATATTGATTTAATATAATTTGTCACTTAAAATATCATGCTGTGACCATAATAAAAGAACATCTGAATTTAACCTCTGCTGATTGGAATAACATTGGGCAGGTGAGATCTTACCTGAGGACCTAATCAGTTGTAATCGCTCATAAGATGCAGAAGAACCAAACCTTAGGAAATTCACTTTATTTGCAATTGTTTAATAACATCATTCCTCAGATAAAAATGCAATATTACAGGAATATACAGCAGAGATTAATTTAAAACTTCCTGTCAAGAACCATACAATCTAAAGATATTTTTTAGTTTTTATTTACTGGTAGCGTGCGTTATAAGCAAGACACACTCTGTCACCAAAGACAGACTGACAGATACAGATACAAACTGTACAATCACTTATTTACAAATCCATTTTTTTGTTGGTTTTTTCGTTTCACTTTTTTTTTTAAAAATAGGAATAGAAAAAGTGATTGAATCTTCAGATTTACGTAGCGTATTCTTTTTCAAATCCAAATGAAAGAATGATGAAATGATGACAAAAGAGTCTCAGCAAAAGTAGAGGAGGGAATGACAGACCATGCAGACGTCTCACAGAGTTTTCAATAACACCTGGGGTCTAAACTCCATTAAATAGTCCAAAATGTGAATGACCTCTGACGGTGTTTCGTGAGAGACCTGAATGGTCAGCACTGATGCCTTCGAATTCTACCAAAAGCACGACACGCATCTAATTTTAATTCAGCTCGTTAATCTAACAAACAGCTCAGGACCTCAAGACTACACTTCCCGTCCGCACCGTCAATCAAAACTATAGAAGCTGCTCGTGTGGTCACCGAAAATAAAGCAACTGAGACGATCCGCTCAAAGATTCCTCCCTTCGTGAGTCTTACAGTAAGTGGTTAAACGTAAACCGAATCACCTCCGACTGCAGGAGAATAGTGTAATGCAGATTCGGGTTACAGCCTCTATAACAGAAAGAATTGCGGACTGCATCTGTAGATGAGTGAGCATCAAGGAATCGATTCCCTCAGTCCTGCCACCCATTAGAGAAAAAGAGACCCAACAAATCAAGCCCAGAGCTCAACGCCATCAAACAGAGCATTACTTCCATCTCTGCAGAAAGAAAGCAGGATGTGGTAAAGAATAAGTTGTTAAAACGTTCACTCATACATGGAGATTTGTGCAATATAGTAACTCTCTGAGCTCCTCATCATAATCGTTACCGTTCCGCCCATCTTCTTCTGTCTCTGGTGCTACATTCGCTGGGTGGAACTAGAGGCGGGGAAATGCTTCTCAAAAACCTCAAATTGGTTCATATAAATGGTTTTGCATTTCCCTTCCCCAGAGTTGGGGTTTTGAATGCATTCAGTGCACTAAAAAAACACTGAAGAGCTGTCTCACCTACTGCAGGAGACGGCCTGAACAAATCTGCATTATTTATCGTCCCACCTGTGGAAATCAAACTGGCAAGATTGACGTTTTGAGCTTAGGGCGAAATTAATATTTACACGACAGCTAAAATCTATGCATAAATTAATCCTTTACTTGGATTATGTGTACGACGTGTCCAACTAAACGTGGTTTAAATGTGCAAATTGTGATTATTGCATCACCACCTTAGCTTTTAGTTTATCATTAAAACTCGTTAACGCACTACATTAACTTATAATATCAAATTAACAGTCATATAGAGATACGTGCTACACAAAGGTTAAACCAGAGGGCAGACATTGCACCTGTCCAGGCTTTCTCTGGGTCAAAGGTCAACCCCACGGCACGTTCCTTCAGTCTGACACATGCAGAATTGGCATACGAACACGCACGAACCCAGAAACACCGAACGGCCCGAATGCTGATGCTTGAACTACAGACGTCCTTAATAAATCCACTTACGTTTTGTGTTCGTGCATTACTGGGTTTATCCAAATAAAACAAACACTAAAGATTCAAAAAAAAAAACAGTGCGGTTTAATGTGTTGTGAACTTTAATGGTTGTAACAATGCTGCTCATTTGCTATAGATAGTTTACTTTTTTCTCAGGGGTTTATATTTCCAAAAATGTTCAGCATTATATGCATTTAAATGCATCAAATATATTCTTTTTTTTATTGGGGAAACTTGTGCACGCTGCTGCTACAGATGGCAAACCGAAATACAAGCCACAATCAATCAAAGTCCATCAGGAGAGCAACCTACACTTGCCCTGCTGAAATGTCATCCGTTACATCACCAACATTCCCTCCAACCAGTGCGAAATATCTCAACTTCCATCTGATAAATAGTTCTCATATATTAAAATATAGAAAATAACTTCTGATTCTCTGAGAGAAGAAAAGCTACATTACAACCATTTGGGCAAAAACCTCACTGAGCAACTAATAAAATATTCAGTCAAATATTTGGTACATTTCCCCAAGGCCTAAGCAGACAGCTCTCTGTGTTCATTCATTAGCGGTTTCATTCAACACAGGCGCTGCTTTTGTGTCATGAAAGCTCGTGGCTTTTCCACACTGTTCTATCATGTGCAGGTGCTCAGAGGGGAACTTGATGTGTTGATCTGAATAAAGCAGCTGTGAAAAAGCCCTCGGATTCAAAATCACATGATTAATCTCATTACACTCCTCCCTCAGCAAAAACACCCAACCATCCTGCTTAAAAACAGGCCGTACGAGCGGAGTTTCGAAAGGAGCTACTGCGGTGAATATGAATGATTTACTCTATATTTCTCTATCATTTAATTTCTATCTATACGTAGTCACTACATACATTCTCAAACACGGTTGTGTGTAGCCATTTTAACCCTGACATTCAGCAGATATAGATGAGTTTATATGGTCTCTTCTCATGTGTTAATTCTTTTCTATAAGTCTATAAAAATATACAATCATTGGCTAATGAAGGGAGAGGAGGACTCCGTCTTAGCTCGATTCTTTAGACTCCATGCAAAAATTCAAGCTTAGCATCCAAATCCATTATTTCCAACCTAAATCTCCTCACCGAACGCAGATTGTCCATGAGATTTGAGAAATGAAAGGGGATTTCTAATGTTTCCGCTTGCAGCCTCAAATAATAGCGAGAATTAACGTGCATGACCAACTGTTCACCGGCGCACGGGTGCCGTAAAAAAAAGCCTTCACTGTGATGTCTGCTGAAGAAAGGACAAGGAGGGTGAGCGAATGAAAAGATAAAGGGGGAAAAAGCGAGAGTGAAAGAGAGAGAGCTGCTCTTGCGTATCATGCACCTTTCAGCTGAGCACAAGATATGCAAAATCATTTTCACACCAACGAGCCGCTTCTCTCCTCCGTCTGTATTTACACCTTCGCTCCTCGTCATCAGTGTTTCCTCAATGTTTAAAAATGAAAACAACAAAAAAATAATTACTCAAAACGCTTGGCACACCAAAAGAATCCTCATGCAGAGATAATTGAAACCAACAGAAGAAAAACATCGAACCAAACTGACCTGCACAAGATTATTTCAAAATACTCAATACTCAAATGCACCCGATTTCAAGTATGACAGGTTTCTTCAATTTAAAGTTTTGTAACTTAATACACAACAGTGAATATATATCTCTCTGTATCTTAGATTTTTGTACAGCTGTAGTTCTGAAGGAAACTGTTGTACAGTCAAAGTTATTGCATTGTTTTTGCATATCTTGTGGTATGCAAGCACATACGCATGCACTCACGCACTCATCCTGCATATACTAACACGAACACCACACAAACGCGCTCGCACTCTGCATATGCTAAACACGGAGAAACACGTACACAACCAAGGCCTCGAAATATGCCTGGGGCAGCCTCACAATGACACATGGCACGTGTGTGTAGGTGATATGAGGGTGTGGTGGCGGCTTTGGAACAGAGCAGGTGGGTTCTGGCTACATTTGTCACGTTTTTTCACAAGCTTTGCATCATCCTCAGAGCAGAGACCTCCTGTAAACATTCAGGAACTCAATCAATCAATCAATCAATCAAAAAAAAAATAAAAAAATGGCACAGGACTGGAGACTTCAGATCGAATGCAATGTTCGAGGCCTGGAACCAAACGCCAGGACGCTCTATAGAAAGTGAAGAGTCAGCTAGAAAAAAATAGTCAATTATCTGTTCATACATGGAAAGAGAAATTCGTATCGTCTGAAGTAGTGTGCAAAACGGTGACAGAACTTCTAACCCGGTCTAGTGTGGCACAAACAGAGAGACGCCTGGAAGTGGATTGGTCAGGTTTCTCATGTGTTTAGGGGTCGCACTCCATCCCGTCGACACATTACCAACACAATGCTAACGCTTCAACACCTTATTTGCATAATAGATCGTAAGTAGTTCTCTGTGTCTGCCGAACTGCATGGAAACGGTGAAACGCAGCAGAAAAATATCCTTAACGATAATAATAATAATAATAGATCAATAATTGTATGATGATGACACTGCTGATGTTGGTACTTTCATAATGATGGTCATATATTTAGCCCTGTGTGAACTACATTAGAGTTTTTTTTTAATGATGCGCTACCCAGACATCCCTGAATACTCCACCCTTCCTCTCCTCAAAGTGCACCTTTACTGACCTTCCGAAGATCTGCTGTTCCGTGTCGAGCAGGTGGGATCATGACAGAATCGCAGCTGTTGGCTGAATGTTTCTGGAGATCAGCAGTGTAGAAACGTCAGTAGTTTCAGAGCAAATGTGAGTCCGACCCAACAGCAGCCATGAGAGCTGTCAGTGCTACCTGCGCCCAGGTGAGTGACACTGCTCATTTACAGCTTGTGAGCTACCAATAAACATTGTGAGAGAGACCGAACCCCCTTCACCTCTGACAGGAATAAATAAATAAATAATTGTTTTTGTGTGTCTGTAAGAGGCATTAGATTCACAACACTGCATCTGGCATAAACATCTTAAACGCCTTCAATAATAATAATAATAATAATTTAAGAAAAAAAACAGCATCCATCTGTGTGCAAACAACATAAACACTAAATGCTGGAAAATAAAAAAGGAAATAAAACCTGAAGCAGATCTGGAATAAAAGGCCACTGATGCAATGACCTGTACCTTGCACAGCGAGCAGTTCCCTGAAAGCCGTAACGGTACACAAGAAAGAGAGCAATTCAGAGAGTTCAGTCTTCCGCTGATAAAAGGAAAAGCTATGTGCAGGCTTAACTAGAGAAATCAAATCATCAACTGAACACAAAAGAAAGCCGTAAAGGAGAAGTATGACGTGAGGGCGCTTGCAGACGACACTTCTGAAGAACGGATGGATGGAAAGGAAAGAGAGCCGCTCCAATGTGTCCCTCTGAACATCTCTCGAACCCGTGACGGCCCCCGGGCGGCAAATTCCCAACACGGCCCTCAAGATCCACCTGCTCGGCACCGAGCGTCCACGCCGATGCTGCGGCTTTCGAGTCCTACCGCCACACACGGGTCAGCGCAAACTCCCACTGCCTGAGCAACAACAGTGCATCTTTTCCCTTCATTCCCTGCTCGGTCAGGGTTTCGTTTCCTTACTGCAATCAAGGTTGTGAGAACTGTGAGGCACTTTAGAAACACACACAAACATGTACACACGCCTACTCGCTCGTGCTCTTGCAAACACGGACAAACTAAAAACCAACTTGGTCTCAGCTAAGCAGAATGGCCTTATACCCCTACGGTAGGTACACGCAACAGACGGGTCAGACTGCAGGACAGCAGTGTCCTCAGAGAGAGCTGGGCTAAGACACAGGAAGTCCTCCGTTGCTGCTGCTGTTCCCCCTACAAACTGGTCACGCACTCCATGTCCTCATCCTCCTTCAGAGTGCTGTTCCGCTGCCCCTCCACCTCGGAGCGCTCTAGCTCCGCCCCCAGCAGCTCGTCGGAGCCCGTGGCGGTCGAGAGGCCCAGCGCGTGGCTGCAACGGGACTCCTGCAAGCCAGTGTCTCTGCACTGCATGAAGGGTAGCAGGTTTCCGTTGGCGTTGGGCGGCGCGTTGGCGTTGAGAATGTTGTCGGCAGCGTTCTCCATCTCCTCCATTGTCATGTCGCAGGCATCCGCTAGTTCCTGCTTCGCTACCTGGATGAAGGAAGGATCCTGTGCATAGCGACCCAAACCCTCGGATATCAACACCTGGGCAAAGAAAGAACAAGAACTTTTCAACGCTTTATACTCTTAAAACTAAAGGTTCCTTGAGGTTGTTTTTGCAGTGATCCCATAGAAGAACCATTTCTGCCGTGAAAAGTTCTTAAAAGAACCATTCTTTACTTAGTGTAAGGAACATTTTGATAAAACATTTTTTTTTGTCTATAGAAGCTTTTGTGCGATGGAAAGGTTCCATGTATGCTAAAGATTCTTCCTAAAACCATCAATGCCAATAAAGAACTCTTGTTTTTTGTGTAGTGTAGGTAAATATGGTATATAAAAAATTGTACTAAACACATAAATATGCAAATAAACACTTAAAGGGATTCTGTCATTAATTACTCACCCTCATGTCGTTCCAAACCCGTAAGACCTTCGTTCATCTTCAGAACACAAATTAACATATTTTTTATTAATCCGAGAGCTTTCTGACCCTGCATAGACAGCAACACAACTGAGGATTTCAAGGCCCAGAAAGTTAGTAAGAACATCATTAAAATAGTCCATGTGGCATCAGTGGTTCTACCTTAATATTATGAAGCTACAAGAATACTTTTTGTGCGCAAAGAAAACAAAAATAACGACTTTATTCAACAATTTCTTCTGTTCCGCGTCAGACTTTGGCGCGTTCACGACAGTACCACGACAAGGCGCAGATAGTGGTGGGCAGAGCAAGGCTTTGTGAAACACTGAAACAGTCGAAACAAATGTGCTGAGGCTTCGAAACAATTCGACACCCGTCTCTCATTTTCAAGTATTGCTCTGAAACAGCATTAACAACGAATCAGTTAAGCAAAATGACAAATTATAACGTATATGTTGTGCTCGTCATTCCACTTGGGGGAGTGCTTAGTGTGCTCGACTGGCATGTTGTCAGAGCCTGTCACTTTAGGTTCAAATCAAGGGTGAAGCATGTACTGTATATAATTATAATAAATATTTAAAAGTTGTGTTTTTATTGTTCTGTTCTTGTAATGTGTTGTAACATATCTCTGACAATTGAATGAACTCTCTGTGAATAAATGTTACTTTAGTCATGAAAAAATTAACATTAATAAAAGACATCAAGCCACAACGTCTGCCATTTTTTACATATAAAGATTTTTATTTAAAAATATTAATTGTTCTGCTGCATTAACTTCACTTTTATACTTTGTGGGAGTTAGGTTGAGACAGATGTGCGATTGTGTGGTTTGTTCTCGACCCTGTCGATCAAACGCAGATTCGGGTCTCGAAACACTTGTGAAACGCCCCGATGCTTTGATTCACCTTAGTCAAGTGACATGGATGTTTCGAATCACACTTCGGAGCAGTGTTTCGAAACATCTGCGCTTCGGGATCTCGACACTGTCGAAATGTCAGTTTCGCGTCAGCCAGCAGCGCATCTGGGTTCTACGTCAGAACACCGGGTCCTGCATAAGCAGCACCACACGCATGTGTCGTGGTACTCTTGTGAATGGCAGTGGAGACTGACATGGAATACGTTATTTTTGTTTTCTTTGTGCACAAAAAGTATTCTTGTAGCTTCATAACATTACAGTTGAACCTCTGATGTCACATGGACTATTAACGATATCCTTACTAACTTTCTGGGCCTTGAACGTGGTAGTTGCATCATGTCTATGGAGGGTCAGAAAGCGCTCAGATTTCATCAAAAATATCTTAATCTGTGTTCAGAAGATGAACGAAGGTCTTACGGGTTTGGAACGACATGAGGGTGAGTAATTAATGACATTTTTGGGTGACCTATCCCTTTAAATATGTATTTTTGTATGTTTTCTATCCACAAGTCTGAAGATGACAAGTTTTGCAATCTAAATAGCCCTAAATCTCAAAAATGATCAGTGCAATGGTTTTGCCTGTAGTGTCTTGCTTTAAGAAAATGCAGCTTACGGCCTCCACGAGGCTGCCGGCGCTCCCGTGTGACAGGGATGTGGAGTTTCTGCGTGTGACCGGAGGAACCGTGAGGGACACGGGTCGCTGCGTCCTCTGCACACTCCTGCTGTTATTGCCGTTACTGTCACTGTACCACGAGCTGCAGTTCACAGACGGCATGCTGCTGTTGAGTTTCTCGTAAGATCCGCTGCCCTCCAGCCGCAGAGACGGAACGGGCTGGTAGCACGGCCCTCCCCCGCCGCGGCCGCTGGGACTCGCAGGAGGTGTGGAGCACAGACGCGTGAACAGCGTCGGAGAATGACTCCGTCTCAGCAAGGGACTCAAACCTGCCACAGCCAAAGCCTTTGAAAAACACAAGATGAATAAGTGAAAAGACAAAAAAAAACTTTGTCAAGCATGTGTGGGTGTGGGTGCGCGCATAAGCTCACCTGATGATGCACTAGGTGCAGTGGTAGTGCTGTTTTCTGAGAAACATCAGGTCTGTTATGTTTTCTCAAACACTCTAAGTGAAAGGAAGACCGTCGACCTGTATTGAAAAGTAAATATGCACTTGACTTCAGCGTCACATTTGAAGCAAAACTAATGACTGTACTGACTTGTATTGTGAATGTGTGCGAGTATGTACCCAGTGCAGTGGGGCAGAGAAATGCCCGTCTTCGTGGAGACTGCCACGGCCTCCTCTCTTCCCCTACCTCTGCCTCCACCATTGGAGCCAATTGCTTGCTCTCTTCATCCTGAAATTCCAGCCTGCACCCCGCACACATACATTCAAAATATTGAAATATTACTCTTTCTAGGAGCCTGAATCTCACAATACTGTCAAGTCGGAGTCAAAATATATCCCCCAAAAAGAATAAGAAATTATATTTTGCAAATGTTGAAAAGATTTTCATTTTTGAAAGAAGTCTCTTATGCTCATCAAGGCTGCATTTATTTGATCAAAAGATACAGTAAACAGGAATATGGTCAAATATTATAACCATTTAAATTAGCACTTTTTCTATTTGAATATATTGTCAAATGTAATTTATTTCTGTAATGCAAAGCAGAATTTTCAGCAGCCATTACTCCAGTCTTCAGTGTCACATGATCAATGTTGAAAACATTGCACGGCTAAATATTTATAAATATTTTTTGATAAAGAAAGTAATTTTTTGTATTATTTTTAATTTATTTGAAATAAAAATATTTTGTAACATTATAAATGTATATTATAATGTTTATTGTCACTTTTGATTAATTTAATGCATCCTTTCTGAATAAAAGTATTTAAAAAAATATTTCTGACCCCTTTTTTTTTAATTGAAATTGACTGAATTTATACATAATGAATTCATATCAAATGATTTCTGTTTTTAGGACCATTATGACCACAGCACTACAGTACAGCTGTTTGAAAGGCACAATTAATATGAGGGGGTCAGATTTGGCAACTTCTACTAAACCATTTTTACCGATTTATAGAAAGAAAATTAGCTAAGCATTAAACTGTATCTCCCACATTCCTGTGGATTATTGTTGTATTAAATGTTCTGATGAATTAAAACAGATGAATGCAGTATTACATGTCCATTGAGAGCATGGTCTGATCTCTCTCATCTAGAAATGTTTCATCGTACGTCTCATCTGTAGATGCTTCCTCTCGCCGTATTATAGGGAGACGACTGTCACTGGAATCAGAGCTTCACAAAACACACAGGTGAACCATAAGCATATTGCACATCTTTAGCATCTGAAAGGCTTCAGAAAGTGAGGAAAGCTCACCTATACAGATAACAGCGGTTACTCTCTCCTCAAGCTCTCATAAGGCTATTATAATGTGAACACAAACAACTATAGCAGCTTAAGGTTTGATGATGTCTAACAAACCTTACAGCACAGTTTTAACTGGTTGTGTCACATTACAGAAGCACTGCTATTATTTTTGCATAGAAAACTTATGATATTAGATTTAAGAGGAGAAAAAGTTTGTAAAGGGGCACTTCATAAAGACTGGAGCTCCACTAACAGAAATAAGTGCATATCCCGCTCCCAGGATTGTGCTGCATCTGTTTGCACAAAAAAAAGTAGTATGTCCAGTTTAATAGCTGTCAGAGCTGCTTGTGAAATTGATGCTTCTGTATTTTGGTCTAAATGAAGAGCCCCTCCAGTACAGCCTGGAAATGAGCAGCAGGATGAGCTTCAAAACAAACAATTCCATGGCCTAGCAGAGCGGTTCTCAACTGGTGTGTCACAAAGAAAAAAAATTGCAACTAACCATATAAACTTGCTTAGTAATGATGAACAAGCTACCAGTTTATATTACAAAATAAATAGGCTTATCTTATTTTGTTGACGTTAAAGAGGCTGCAGTCAATCAAACTCGGTCAGCAGTGTTCTTTTAGTATTACTACCATGTTTGTTAATATTTTCAATTATCTTTTTATAATTTCAGTTATCATTTTAAGTTTTAGTAATTTTGTCTTTTTTTTTTTTAATCTACAGTATTTTGCTACAAATTAATCTGTCAGCAGTGCTATTTTAGTATTTATATACTATTATAGTATTTATTAATACTCTGAATTAGCTTTTTATATTTATATAGTTTGCATTTTAATTTAAGTTGTAGTAATTTTATGTGCTTTTGTCATTTTTACTAGCTTTTTATGTTTTTTTCTTCCAAAATACAATATTTTGTTACAAATAATCAGTTATTTTTGTATTATTTACATATTACTATTTATATATTGAATTAGCATTTTATATTTTCCGTTTTTATTTAGTTAAATGTAAGATATATAGTATATATTAAAGCAAAGACTATTATATACAGTGGTGGCCAAAATTATTAGAACACTAATATTTTCACCTGCTAAAAAATGGTTTTAAGTCTGTTATTTCTATCTTATGCTGTAGTGTGTCAGTAGGAAATACACTTACTTGTACTCTCCAAACTCTCCATCTTTCATTGTGCGGGCTCCATCGACCTGATCCTCCTCTTTATCTTTCACTGAAATACAAAAAAAATTAAAATTACTTTAACAAATTGCCAAAAGACTATTCTTATTAAAAATTCCATACATATATATATATATATATATATATATATATATATATATGCACACAATGGTTGCCAAAATTATTAGAACACTAAATCAACACAGACACATCTAGCCTGTATAAGAAGAATAGGTAGACAGATAAAATACAATATAATTCATAAGAAAGAGCATTTGCTTTTCTTTCAGCCTGTTCTTGAAGTAGTTCATGTCTCATGCTGGTAAAATCAGAGCAACTTTAAAGATTATACTATAAAATGCACAGTCAATATTAATATTTCTGCTGTTGCACAAATAGCATATACTGTAAGCAGATTTTAGCATTATAAGTGCATTTATTTATGATCTGGTTTAACTCCGTATCAGCAGCTATGGCTATATTAGTGTAAAATCAACAGTATTATATCATCTAGTCTGTCTGGAATGACATGAAGAAACAGAACAAACTGAGACAGTTTTTCAGTTGCAGGTAGGTTTCTTGAAGCATCTTAAGAGACGTTGCTACAGTTCTCAAATCTGCAAAAATGTCAACAATTCTGTGTTTTTCTGTCAATATGGGGTGCTGTGTGTACATTAATGAGGGAAAAAAATGTACTTAAATGATTTTAGCAAATGGCTGCAATATAACAAAGAGTGAAAAATTTAAGGGGGTCTGAATACTTTCCGTACCCACTGTATATATATATTTATATTTATACTGAGCTTTGTTTTTATTTCAGTTTTAGCAGTTTTAAGGTTCTATTTTATTTCAGCTTTATTTCAATGAATTGAAATAATTTTTAAAAGTTTTAGTATACAACAGTACATATTTTGTACATGCCAACATGAATATGTTGTTTCACATACCCTTTTCATTAAGAAAAACCAAGAACAAAACTTAAAAAAAATAAAAAGATTTGCTGATGAGAGCGTAAAATCTGGGTTCTGACGGAAAACCAGTTGAGAACCACTGGCCTAGCACATGCTCATTCAGCTGTCAGCCAATCAGAGAAGCCGCTCACAGATCCTGCTAGTTAATGTCATGTATAAAAGTGGATCTCTCAACACACTGAGAGTGTGTGTTGCAAACATTTAGCTTCAGATCCACCCCGGTATGGACAGAGCATACGCCAGCCTTCCAAAGTGATGAGGTTTCTCTTTGTCTCTGTGTGAGGAACGTACCGCATGAAAGTGTCATAGAAACAGCTCCTGGTCCACACGAGACAATCAAGGGCGAGACAAACCACAATCAGGAACCAGATTCTGACAAACCTGAACATCTCTCCACTAACTCACACATCTGCATTCAACTACAGAAGGAATATGGCATCATACCTCTTGTTAGGAAAGCACCATGTGGGCCGTGGTAGTGGGACAGTGGTGAGGGGCGGCCCCGTGTGTCCATCCACTGTGCTGACGGTAGGTTTGGGGTACCGGTGTCCGATGGCTGTGTTGTTGGCGTTGTTGATGTTTGCGTTGGATCCTGAGGAAGAGTAACTGCTCGGAGTGAAGGTGGAGTCAACGAGCTTCTGATGAGAGGGAGATTCTGCCTCGCCGGGACTCACGGATTTACTGATGTGCAATGGCCGCTGTGTTGTGAAGGACTGTGGGAAGGAGGCGTGGCCATCACTCTGGTGGTAGTAGTTGACGTGGTTACCGAAGAGGCCGCCAGACCGCTGCAAAGATAAATATACACACGAGTGCTCACATTTACACAAACCTGATCATCCCTTCCCGTTCACACCTGGTATTAACATCTCCAGTGATTTTTCAGTAGATTTCAATGACTACATACAGCTTCTCATAATTCAGAAGCCCTAAGCATTAAAGGGATTGTTCACCCAAAAATGAAAATTCTGTCATTAATTACTCACCCTCATGTCGTTCCAAACCCGTAAGACCTTCGTTCATCTTCAAAACACAAATTAAGATATTTTTGATTAATCCGAGAGCTTTCTGACCCTGCATAGACAGCAACGTAAGGACATTGTTAAAATAGTCCATGTGACATCAGTGGTTCAACCTTAATTTTATGAAGCTACGAAAATACTTTTTGTGCGCAAACAAAACAACTTTATTCAACAATTCTTCTCTTCCGCTTCAGTCTCCACCTCGCGTTCACAAGAGTACCACGGCGCATGTATGTGATGCTGCTGACGCAGAAGCTGGTGTTCTGACGTAGAACCCACATGTACTGCGCCTTGTTTACAAGCAGAGGAATGAACACGCATGCATCGTTGTACTATCGTGAACGCGCATTAAGTCTGATGCGGAAGAGAAGAAATTGTTGAATAAATTTGTTATTTTTGTTTTCTTTGCACACAAAAAGTATTCTCGTAGCTTCATAAAATTATGGTTGAACCCCTGATGTCACATGGACAATTTTAATGATGTCCTTACTACCTTTCTGGACCTTGAACGTGGTAATTCCGTTGCTGTCTATGCAGGGTCAGAAAACTCTCGGATTTCACCAAAAATATCTTAATTTGTGTTTGGAAGATGAACAAAGGTCTTACGGGTTTAGGTGAGTAATTAATGACAGAATTTTCATTTAAGCACTACATCCTATTCATATTTTTGTCTTGTTTTTCTTCTCATGATCTTGACTTGATTTTCTTGAGATCTCAACATAACAAAAATGTATATTTTGTTATAGCCTTGTACCTAAAATCCCTCACTTTCAATGATAGTTGTTAATTTGAAGTGTCATGAGCATATATATATATATATATATATATATATATATTAGTTAGATTCCTCTAAAACAAGACATTTTCTTGTCATATTGGTGTATAATGTGGCCATATGTGTGGATTGAGAATTTAGCTTTCAATACGCTTCTGGAATGCATTACATCGCTTTTTCAGCTGTATTTAGTGTTTGCTTGTGATCGGATCACTAACGCGAATGTTAATACCAAGGTAAACGGTAAATGAACATACAGACGCAAATAAACATACAGACGCACACACACTGAGAACACAAACACTTTCACTTCCTCTGTTCACTCTGCACTTACATTCAGACAGCAGCCATGTTTTAGATTTTTCTAAATGGTCTATGAATGTACTTTAACATCACTGATGGCAAATTTTTCATAATTTAACTATTAATTTAACAAATTTTATAACCATCTGATTTGTGTGATGAGGGCAAAGCACTGTTCCTTAATGGTTTCAGACACTTTTAGATTACAAGCTTGTAAAACTTGACACATTCATGAACCTAATATGAACAAAATTATTTTGTTGTCCTAATAACAAATGAAAAAAATAATTCGAAGCCCTCAATGCTGAGCGATGAATCTAAACAAGCAGCTCTGTGACCCTTCGCAGCCTGGTTGGAAGATCTGGCTGATGGTCCCATGCAGGTGGGCAGAAGCTCCGGCAGCAGAAGCGATGATGTGAGCAGAGCGGAGGAGAGGAAATAAGAGGCAATATCAGACCTTTACCCTGAAGATATCATCCTCAGAAGCAGCACACACGGTTTCCTTCATGGCTCTCTCCAGCTCCTCCTCCACAGTCAGGTCTCCTGATATCGCTCTTCTGATCTCAGGACCAATATCATGCAGTGTGCGCAGGCCAGCCTGGTCACAGCACACAAACAGGCACATTCATAGGCAAACAGAATCAATTTTTCTGTTATAGCTGATGGTCTAATGGACCCACCTGCAGTGAAAGAGCAGTCTTTGGGGGAATTTTGGCCACCAGGCCCTGTTCCTTGCGCTTCTTAAATTTCCTGAAGTATTCCTGAATCAGGAATGTGGCATAGAACTTCCCAACGGTTACTTCATCATCTGTTGGGCAAGGAAACACACACACACACTCAGGTTTTATTCAGCAAGGACTCATTAAATTGATCAAAAGTGACAGTAAAACTGTATAATGCTACAAAAGAGTTGTATTTAAAATAAACGAAGTTCCTTTGAACTTTCTATTCATAGAACTTAAATAAAAATATATCACTGTTTCCACAAAAATATTAATCAACAACTGTTTTCACCACTGATAATATTAAGTAATGTTTAGCACCAAATCAGCATATTTCCAGCTTTGCCATCATAGGAATAAATTAAATTTTCAAGTATATAACAACAGAAAAACACTTTTAAATTATAGTATTTCACAATAGTACTGTTTTAATGTATTTTTGATAAAACGAATGCAGTCTTGGTGAGCATAAGAGACTTCTTTCAAAAACACTAAAAATCCCAAAATTATGAATGGTAGTGTATGTAATTGGTCGACCTTTGACCTTTTGCCATCACCCACCTCCAGCTGGGGGAACAACTTGATCCAGCAGCTTCATGCTCGTCCTCTTCCAGATCTTCTTCACGATGGCTCTGAGTTCCTCATTTGCTTGCTCCAAGTTACCTGACACAAACACATACAAACGGTGACTTTTCTGTGCATACAAGTTGGGATGTGTATTAGATTTATGCGTGTTTATGAACTGTATTGGCATGTATGACACTATCACACCTTCAGTTTTGATGCGTAGAGCCGTTCGTACTAGAGCAAAGAGAGTTGCGTTGAACATCACCGTCCCGTCACTATTGAGAGGCATGTTCATGGACACAAGCCGCTGCAGATGCACAGATAAAGTAAGTCAAGTAATGTGTCTAACACGCTACAGAATTAGTACATTTTAGGATTTGTACCTTGCATGCCACTCTATGTGGACAAAGCTTTCCAAATCCAAGGGGAGGCTGAATCCTGCGGAGTAACGTCACCACATCCAGGTGTTTTATCCGACCCCTGCAATCACATTAAACTCAGATCTTAGTTTCAGTCGCTACAAATAAATAATCTAGAATTATTAATAATAAGATCTAGAAACTGCAACTGTTAAAGATGGCAAAACAGGAAGTGACTGACTTGGCCTCAGGATCGTATTCTGCCCATATCCTCTTAAACTCATCTAGGTGATGCGGCCCCAATATCGACCAATCACGTGTTAAATAGTCAAAGTTGTCCATGATGACGGCCACAAAGAGGTTAATGATCTGTGGGAGAGGAAGGATCTGAATCATCTTGTGCTAGGGAAACCCGCTGCTTCTGTTATTATGGATACGGTAAACATTGAACGGAGGGGGTAAAGGATGTCATGCTGGTGGAGATGATTTCACAGCAAATTTCACAGCTGATATACAATAACACAGTTGCTTACTGGTAAGGAATATCGATGTCAACTCACCAGGAAGGCGCAAAGCATATAAAAGCTAACAAAGTAGAAGATGGCAAAGTGGCTGCCACAGTCTTCACTGGAATGGCCGACCTCTGACCCCTTCTCACATGGGCGGTTCGGGGAACAGGCCAGCATGATTTCCTGCCATGCCTCCCCTGTTGCACACCTACAGAAATGCACAAGCTCAATGTGAGAGAGAGACATCAAACGAGTGAAAGAAAGAGAGAGAGAAAGCAAGAGGGAAACTGACCTGAAGAGCAGCAGAACAGCCTGAGGAAACGTCTGAAAGTTGTTGTTTCGGTTGATCTGGCTGTGGTCCCTCAGGGCAATCTTACCAAACATCTGTGGAGTCAGAAAAACATTACCCATCACAAATCGCTCCACACCAACATGTCCAAGTTGTTACAAGTACAGGAGCTGTAACAGACATGGAGACATTTCCTTGGGGAAGATGAGGAGAGAGTGTGAAGCAAATGAAGCTGGGTCTGACCTGCATCCCAATGACGGCGTAGATGAAGAACAGCATTACGATCAGCAAAGCAACATAGGGAAGAGCCTGTGAACAAACCAAGGGAGAAGGAGAAGGGAAAAGAGGAACTCTTAAATATACAGAGCAAATGCAAAAAATGCAGGAATATAGCAGAACATTTTACATTTTGTAACATTTTGTTATAAATAAAATATAATTTTAAATAATTTCTTTAATATACATTTTTATTAAAATATATGATAAATAAAATTTAATGCATGCATCTGATTAATGCATGCATGTTTTTTTTGGCACAATAACAAGTTTAGTTATAAACAGTAAGATTTTTGAAAGTCCAGCCAGGCTGCATTTATTTGATCAAAAATAGAGTAAAACACCTTCAGAAATCATTCTAATATGCTGATTTGGTGCTCAAAAACATTTGTGATTATTATTATGTTGAAAACCCTTCATACTTTTGTAGAAACATTAATGCATATTTTTTTTACGAATATAAAGTTTAAAGGGGTCATATGATGTTGCTAAAAAGAACATTATTTTGTGTATTTGGTGTAATGAAATGTGTTTATGCAGTTTAAGGTTAAAAAAACACATTATTTTCCACATACTGTACATTATTGTTTCTCCTCTATGCCCCACCTTTCTGAAACGCGTACATTTTTATAAACTCATTGGTCTGAAAAGCGAGGTGTGCTCTGATTGACCAGCTATCCAGTGCGTTGTGATTGGCCAAATACCTCAAGCGTGTGATGGAAATGTTACACCCCTTACCATACCCACTTGTATAGATTTTTTATAGATGTTTTTGAAGGAAGTCTTTTAAACTTTAGTAAATATTTCCCTTTAAAGTCTTCAGTGTCACATGATCCTTCAGAAATCATTCTAATATGCTGATTTGGTGCTCAAAAACATTTGTGATTATTATTATGTTGAAAACCCTTCATACTTTTGTAGAAACATTAATGCATATTTTTTTTACGAATATAAAGTTTAAAGGGGTCATATGATGTTGCTAAAAAGAACATTATTTTGTGTATTTGGTGTAATGAAATGTGTTTATGCTGTTTAAGGTTCAAACATTTGGGCGGCGTTATGCAAATCTTCCCACATCGTGATGTAGACATGTGGGGGCGTGTTAGAACGAGCCGTTTTAGGTAGGCGTGGTTGACTCTTAACTTTTATAAAGAATATCTCTTTGGATTTGAGACTTTAGTCTTTGCAACTTTACAGATCTTCTTTATGCACCAAGAGCTTGTAACACTCCAAAGAGAAAGGAAAGATTGAAATCGCATCATATGACCCCTTTAAAAAACAGCATTTATTTAATAATAAAAATCTTTTTTAACATTATTTACTGTCACTTTTGATCATTTCAATGCATCCTTGCTGAATAAAAGTATTATTATTATTATTATTTTTAAATCTTTCTGACCCCAAAGGATAATAAAGTGACAGGACATCAGTCGACTAGAGGCACATGCCATGTAGATGGCTTTGTTAAATATAATGCAAATTAACAATTTATTGTCACAACATGCTGCTTGTATCCAGTGTAGTCATATAATAATAACACAAACTTGTTTGTTAGTCTGTAGATTGTCTTCTGGTGTTTAATTGCTCACAAAGCCTGACTTTGACTTAGGCATAAAGTCTGGACCACAGTACAACTATCTCTGTACAATTACACAAGAAAGTGCTGTCTCATTTCATTCTCCTCACCTGAAAGGATTTAATGAAGGTCCAGAGCAGCGTCCGAATGCCCTCTCCCCGAGACAGAAGCTTCACCAGCCTCATCACGCGGAACAGCCGAAAGAATGTGATTGAAATCCTGGCGTTATCTTCAGTGTTTTGGAGGCCCTTTTTCAGCATGACAAAGACACACATATGCGTGTTCATGGGGAGGCACACACTCTCATATATACCCAACCATTTGTACACCACCCAGAACAATTCAAGGTGACACACACACACACACACACACACACACACACACACACACACACACACACATTGCTGGCTTTGTGCCCACAAGAATAAACACACACACACACACACACACACACACACACACACACACACATACAATCAAGTTAATATGTCTACAACAGCATGTTAAACACTTCCACCAAGAGCAAACTACAGAGACACAGAGGATGTCTGGTGGCTTTATGAAACAATGACAATATCCCAAATGGGAGCAAAGCATTTATAGATGTCTACCACAATACACAACGCCCCTGAAGTAATAATCTTTTAAGCTAATCATATATACTTAATAAATACCTTTGTGCTAACCTGCCATTGAAGCATTTAACACTATACTGTAATTCACAGGTGATATTAGAATCTACATATGTGTCACTACACAGACACTAGCTCATAGATGTTTACAGATGTTACGTTTATCTCATCCTGTACCATTTCTGCCACAAAAAAAAAGCTTTAGTAAATTATAATTATGACATTAAAAGTCATTATGAGATACAAAGTAATTATGACAAAAAGTTGAAATTATGAGATAGTAAGTCACAATTGTGAATTAAGTCAACATTAGCCCTATTCGCACGGGATTACTATTATCTGGGGACCTCGTGTGATTTAGAAATTACCCCCCCACACACACATCTGAGTTTCGTGTGGCGCATTCGCACGGGATAAACGAAGCCTGTGATTTCACTCAAATTTACTGACTTAAACTTCCAGATATGAATGTTTCTTACTGCATGCTGCTATGTCATCTATCTCCATCTAATCATTCTTTTTGTTTTCGCTCTTCTGATGGTTTTCAGATTTCTCTTTCTGCAAATTGCATAGTTGTATGGTGTATAGCGACAGGGGCGGTTCTAGACCCTTTTTAGGTGGGCTTCAGCCCCGCTATCTGTCGTCTCAGCCCCCCTACAACTATCTGAATGATCAGGCCTGCTGCTTCCTCAAGAAAGTGTATCATTTTCATGTGTTTTAAGGCTTGTCAGTTTAAACATTTAAGTGATTTTAAGCTATTCAAGCACAAGACGGTACGAAAGATATCTCAATGCGGTACTTGCGAGTGGTCATAAATCGTCTGTGCACGCACACACCTGAAGCACGCATACGTCATACGTCTTGACGAGTATCGACGTAAAAACAGTTGGTTACGTCTTAACTTGCTGCTCTTAATTAAGTAACTTCTGTAGCTTTAATGGATATTTGTGTATATTTACTTCAATTAATTTAGGTAATTTGTATCTTTGTATCTAGTGGTCTGTCTGAAGGCTCAGCCAGCCTGTGGATGAAGTCCTAGAACCACCCCTGTATAGCAATATGACCCAGCACCCAAAATACTATAAAAACACTCCAATGCAGCCTCCATTCTTCACGAAAGATGGATAAAAAGGCGCACAGGAAACAAAAACTTTGAAAAAATGATAAACGACCCCACCAAATTGAGGCCAAATTACAGAGATGCCGATTCACACGGGACTAATATTATCACAGGACCTCGGTGTTCGGCGAAATATGGTAGGTCATTTGCGGGGGAATTTGTACTTTACAAATTACAGACATAACTGATTCGCATGGGATTAAGATCACAGACAACCGCAATTATTACAAATGACTAGATGTCACCAGGTAATACTAATCCCGTGCGAATAGGGCTATTGACAAAGTCTATAATGTCTATAATTGACTGATGTCTATAAAGTCTATAATGACTATGAGGCCATAATTATGACTTATCTCATAACTGACTTAGTATGTCAATTTCGACTTTCATAATTTAGTATGTAAATGTGGACTTTTTGTCATAATTTTGAGTTTTTATCCCATAATGACTTCCTATAATTTTGTCAAAATTATGATTTACCAAAGCACTATTTTTTTTATGTCAGCAATGGGCTTATCCGTTTATTTACGCTTCTTTAAATATCTGATATTTTACTTCAGTTATATAATCTAAGTTGACATATACACAAAGCTGCTGCTTTCTGTTTCAAAGGTGCACTCAGTAGTTTTTTCCCTTCATTAAAACGTTTCTACACATAGAATTGTATTGTAATGAACTGTAGTTTTAAAAAATGTGCTTAAAATCATCACTTATCTAAAATGAATTCATCAGTCATTTCAGTCACCCAAAAGCAGTTTTGTTTTACAGCGGGTAAAATAAGTATTGAACACGTCACCATTTTTCTCAGTAAATATATTTCTAAAGGTGCTGTTGACATGAAATTTTCACCAGATGTCAGTAAGAACCCAAGTAATCCATACATACAAAGAAAACAAAACAAATAAGTTCAGAAATTAAGTTCTGTGTAATAAAATGGAATGACATAGGGAAAAAGTATTGAACACACTTACTGAAATGTATTTAATACTTCATACAAAAGCCTTTGTTAGTAATGACAGCTTCAAGACGCCTCCTGTATGGAGAAACTAGTCGCATGCATTGCTCAGGTGTGATTTTGGCCCATTCTTCCACACAAACAGTCTTCAAATCTTGAAGGTTCTGTGGACCTCTTCTATGAACTCTAATCTTTAGTTCTTTCCATAGATTTTCTATTGGATTCAAGGATTCGAGTTTCCTTGGCTGTGTGTTTGGGATCGTTGTCTCGCTGGAATGTCCACCCTCATTTCATCTTCACCATCCTGGTAGATGGCAGCAGATTTTTATCAAGAATGTCTCTGTACATTTTTCCATTCATCCTTCCATCAATTATATGAATTTTGCCAGTGCTACACCATGATGTTTTGGGGTGATGTGCAGTGCCATTTGATTTCCAAACATGGTGTGTATTATGGCATCCAAAGAGTACAATTTTTGTCTCATCTGACCAGACTATTTTCTTTGAAACAATTGCACATGCTAATTCCAGTTCTTTCTGAAGCCCTCCACAAGTGGTCCTTGGCTCTTAGACAACTCTTATGATAATTATTTTCACTCCTCTGTCAGAAATCTTGTGAGGAGCACCTGGTCATGGCTGGTTTATGGTAAAATTATGTTCTTTCCACTTCCGGATTATGGCCCCTACAGTGCTCACTGAAACATTCAGAAGTATAGAAATGCTTCTGTAACAAATGCCATCAGTATGTTTTGCAACAATAAGTTTGCGAAGGTCTTGAGAAAGCTCTTTGCTTTTACCCATCATGAAATGTTGAGACACCTTTGAGATGACACACCTTTTTATAGGCCATCAGTTGGTACTGAACCAGCTAATATTAATTTCCACTGACAAGGGGCAGGATTGCTTTCTAATTACTGATAGATTTCAGCTGGTGTCTTGGCTTTCCATGCCTTTTGGCACCTCCCTTTCTTCATGTGTTCAATACTTTTTCACTGTGTCATTCTACTTTATTACACAGAACTTAATTTCTGAACTTATTTGTATTGCTTTCTTTGTATGTATGGATTACTTGGGTTGTTACTGACATCTGGTTGAAAAATGTCAACAGCACCTTTAGAAATATATTTACTGAGAAAAATGGTGATGTGTTCAATACTTATTTTACCCGCTGTACATGGAGAGGGTCACCTCATGAGATCCACCATTTTGGGGTCACATGACCTCGGTTTGATTTTGGCAAGACCCCTGTTATCTGAGAAAATTCCTGATATGCCTGACTTCGAATTGAGCATTTTTATAATGGCATCGGTAATTTTTTGTTTACTTGGTATGGCACTGCATCCACACCACTAGGTGTCCGTATAAGCACAACATGAAAAAAGACTCAGTGCACCTTTAAATCTCCAACACCTACATCTGCACACATATGCCCTACAAAAACACATCACACAAACCAAGCAAAACTGAGAATAAGCTTCATGCATGTGAACATCGCACAGGAAATCGTCTTTTCACAAGCCCCAGCTGATTTCAGAGCTCTGCCACGTCGGTGGTGAACTGTCACACCAGAGCTAACCAGTAGAGGCCGACACTGGACTAGACACAGAGAGAGCAATGACCATGTGACTACAGCGCACCAATGACAGGCATCGCAGCCTAGGGGAGGGGAGAGGTCGAGGCGATGGACACACTACCAGCATATACACGTGCCTGCCCAATGCCACAGTGATGAGAGAGAACACGTGCGTTCATGCCGAAGTCACATGGTGAATGACAGGTGTAGATGGACAGGTCGACAAGGTGACGGGTGGAATGAGAGGTGGGGTTTTGGTTACCGTTGGTCCATACCATTGGTCTTACCACAGAGGAGGGGGGAGAGGAGGTGGGGTCAGCTGGCTTTAAAGAAAGGCAGACAGATGAAAGCTATAGCAGCGCCAACCACCCACTGTACACCTGTGTGTGTTCGTGTGGGAATTTGTGTGGAAAAGTGTCCGTCAGTGTGTTTTAAGGTACATTTGTTGGGTCTTTTGCAGGGGAGACGCCTCGTAGCACGTCTGTCTTTCTGCCAGCTGAGGGCGCTACAGCACATGGTCCGTTTGAGGAGGAGCCATACGCTGTTCTGCAGCCGCAGACTGGAGGATGGGTTGGTGACACACGCAGACACATGCACAGATTCGACATCTCTCACGAGCCGAGTCGAGAATTTCTCAGCAGGTCTATCACAGTGTGTGTGCTGCAGTGAGTGACTGCATGTAGGTGTGTGTTTAATTTCTACATGCAGAGAGACTTATTTCTAAATCCTCTGCAGTGCCACGATAGACTAAAATGTCTGACTTTGTTTCATGCTTTTAGTGGCGATGACAACTCGATTGATTCAATTATGTCTTTGCGGTAAAACTGCAGAGGATCTGGCAACCCCATCCATGCATGTAGCACACACATTACAGAACTGGGTCAACGGTATAACTCGTTCCAAATGTGCATCTGTGAGACAGCTACCATGATAAAATCTCCACACAGAGCCACTTTGAAAGGGCCGCTCCATATCACAGATATTATCTCACATTGCACAAATATACAGATTTGGCACACACTGGTAAACACTGCCCCCTGGAGGTTACAATCATGCCCATCAGCGAGAGCTTCAGTTGTTAGGTGAGTCATGAAAATAAAGGTCTTGGCCATATTTCACCCTAAACTCAAACTTAAAAATAAGAAATAAGGACCAGTACAATTTCTTGCACTGTTGGGTTTAAATGTGTTTAACTGTCATAAAATGTATATATTTTTATGACAATTAAGCACACGTAAGCCTACCTCCTCAAATTAGAAGTAGCCTACTGCAATGAAAAAATATCCTACAAAAAAAAAAATAAATAAATAATTAACTATTATTATTATTAACAACAACATTATATTATATTATTTAAATGAGAGCTTATTTTAGAACTATCAAGATGTCTTCAGTTGGAGGCTTTAAATGTGCTTGTCATGAAAATAATATATTTATATGACAATTAAGCACATTTAAACTCACTTCCCCCACCTATGAGAAAAAATACATAAATATTGTTTTTTATGTATTCTAAATAATTTAATATTTAATGTAGAAGTATAAATCATTTGCGCTGTATTTCATGTAAACCACTGTGTTTTGCCAAAATGATTTTCATTAGTACTATGTGTGCGGATTTTCTGATGAAAATTAATATGCAAATATGCTTAATTTTTTCATACAAAACATCATTTCATGAGATCACCGTTAGTCAATAGAAGTTACTTGAATACATCATAACTGGCTTAGCCAATTAAGTTCAGTGATTGTGGTCCTATCAGCCAGTCAACAGCTAATGACACAGGGAGCAGGCCTACCAAGAATGCTGTGCGGGTGTAAGAAAGAAAGAGAGAAGAGACAGAGGAAAAACACTGAAAAAAGGGAGGAAAATGCAGAACAGAGAGACAGAAAAGAAGAGGCATTCATAGAGGATGCAATGTGGCATCGTCAGCAAGACAGAGCTGGCAAACACTCCCATCTCTCCACCCCCCCCCGCTTCTCTCCAATCAGACACCGCGAATCAGAGAGCGCCTCCAACAGGCAGGGAGGACAAAGCACTGAGAGGAGCAGAGCGGCCTCAGGGGGAGGAGGGGTGACATTAACGCTTTTCTAAGGGAGAACAGAGTCGTCCGGTTCCACTCTAATCTCCTTGTAGCACTGAAAGGAGGGACTGGCTATCAGCACGGATTCATCAGTTTCATTTCAGATCACTAATCAGATCAATTAACAGGTTAATGAAGCATGAGAAAAAAGTGCTCAGAGTTTTCTCAAAGGAAAGAAAAGGGGGAAACTAAAACAAATCAATCCAAACACAATGCTGGGTCAAAGGTCATGCCTTCAGATCAAATCAGATGCTGGATGAAGAGAAAACTCCAACCAAATCAAACCCAGTCAGTGCTGAAATGGATGTGTATAGCAAAACAAGGGGTATATCTCCAGCATAACGGCTGTCAATCATAAATAACCTTCATTAACACATTTTGATCAGAGAGCCCAAATCATGAATGAACACTTACATGGAGCTGTAGTTTTGTATCTGAAATACACCATTCAAAATTATCATATTGATTGATTGTAATGTATCTTGGTTTCCACAAAAATATTAAGCAGCACAGCTGTTTCTAGCTTTGATTAAAAAAATGTTACTTCACCAGCCAATCAGCATATTATAATGATTTCTAAAGGATCATGACTGCTGAAAATTCAGCTTTGCCATCACAGGAATAAAATTAAATTTTAAAATATATTAAAATAGAAAACAGTTATTATACATTGTAACAAAACAGTTATTTTAAAGTGTAATAATATTTCACAATATTACAGTTTTTACTGTATATTTTAAATAGCCTTGTTGTGCATAAGATACTTCTTTCAAAAACATTACAAATTTTATTGACCATAAACTTTGAAATAGTCATTTTTAATAGTACCTTTACATCAAAACATATTGACAAAGTGGCAAAGTCAAGTCTGCCACATATTAACTAAAGATCTAAAATTGAATCTAAAGATGCATTTTCACAGCATGCATAACACACAGATGCAATATTTTGACATCCAATTCTTTACATCTACATTTTACAAGTGACAATTTCTGGTTAAACCCAGCCAATCTAGCTGATATATAACAAGTTGAAGAAATATTTTGACCTTACATGCGCTATTGCTGTTTGCACACATACAACAAGACTGTACCAGATCAAATTGGTTGCCAATCTAAATGAAAACTGAATACTAAACTATATAATTGGATACAAAACTTTGAAATTAGCAGCAATATGATATACAAGTTTCTTCTAAAGAGAATCTGGGCTCTTCTTTCAAAATCAGTTTGAAGGTTTATGAACCTTCTTTTATGAATAAAGAAACATTATAGCAGATTTTAATGAGTTACAGGCAACATTGATAAGATTGACCATCCATCTTAATGTAGCGATTTCCAAAACAATTCATCAGTCTATATTGATTGTGAAGCCGGAATATATCACCCTGAGCGCTATACAAGGTCATTCATGCCTATGTGTGCGGGTGGAGGGTTAAAGCAACTCATCTTTGTTAGTGTGGGAGGGTTAGGGGGGTGCAGGCAGGCAGATTGAGAGAGAGAGATTACTTACGTTAACCTCTGTGATGGCTATATCAACAACACTACCCACTACAATAAGGGCATCAAATGTGTTCCATGCATCAACAAAATAATGCTGGACGGAAAACAACAAATAAAAAAATAAAAAATAAATGAAAAAGAAAAGAAAAGGAGAGAGGAGAAAATAAGGAAGAAAACAGTTACACATGAACAATTAACTCACAGAAGACATAAGGATAAATCATAAAATCAAATGACGGGTGTGAGGAAATCAAAACGAAATCAGAGAATCCCATGAAGACCCGTGACCTGTCATGCTCCACAGCAGCAGTCAAACATCCATCAAAACCACCCTGAAAAGAACGGCCAGGGGTCCTTGGTTAGTTCAGGTGTGACTGTTAGTTACAGCAAAACAACATACATCGTGGCCTGGAGGATGAAAAGAAGCGGTCGCTCTCTCTCTTTCACGGGGCCTACCGAAAAACTCTCCTGTACGAACACTTTTTCTCCTGCCCTAAATAACCCTCTCACTGCCAGAGGGCGACCTGCCACAGCAGCCATCTTGCCGTCGGAACAGGAAATGAAGAGTTGGAGGAGACAGCAGCTCCTGAAATGTCACAATGACGAAACCTACGAATATGTTCATCATGAAGAAGGCGATGATGATGATGTAGATGATGAAGAATATAGAGATGATCACACGGTAGTTGTAGATTGGGCCAACATCCTCTGCATGGGAGTCGATGGCTCTGTAGAGGAGCCTGTGGGAGAACAAAGAGCTTCTTGTCAGTGTTTTGAAACACTGCTTTTAAAATTATTCATTAATTTATAGTAATATTTAAGGAGATTGTTTGATATTAGCTTTTAGAAATTGTTATTCATTCATTCAGAAGTTTCAGCAGGGATGCATTAAACTGATCAAAAGGGACAGTAAAGACACATGAATATATTTCATTTCAGAAATTAATATATGAATATATGTTCATTTATATTTAAAGATTTCGGGAAAAAAAAAATGTATCACTGTTTCCACAAAAATATTAACAAGAAATGTTTCATGAGCACAAAATCAGCATATTAGGACTATTTTTGAAGGATCATGAGACACTAAAGACTGGAGTAATGATGCTGAAAAATCTGATTTGCCAAAAAATTGATATATTTTTAAAATATATTAAAATATAAAACAGTTCTTTCAAATTTTAATAATGTTTCACATTAGAGACTTATTTTTAAAATAATAAAAAATCATAACTTTAAACCTATGAAACTTATGTGTAAGAAGAAGTATGTGTGTGAGCAAGTGTGAGTGTGTTTGTGTATCGCACCCTGGCCAACCCTCAAAAGTGGACACGGCAAACAGAGCCATCATGCCCTGCAGGACATCATCAAAGTTGAAGTCACTGTTCTCCCATGAACGCTGTGCTTTCTCTGGCTTCCCAACATTCCCGTGTTTGTATAATATATAGGACCCCCTGTAATACACACACAGAGTGCACACATATACATATGAACGAGCTGTTTTTTTTCCGTAAATGTTACTGTAAACTTTGTTTCCCAAAGACAAAGGGACGTTACCGGCATTCGGTCTGTGTCTGTTTAGAGGTGTCTGTGCAGTAGGAGAATTTGCCCTAGAAAACAAACATCAGTTTACACACATTAACATTTTACAACAGCACATACAATGCCACGGGACTAAAATTTCAATTCATTTTCTCAATAGAGAAGTAGATTTTTAGCAGCAATGTATAACCCTGTCACTGTTTTGCTCTGTTAAGTATGCATTGTGAGACAGCACAACTTACCTTGAAAAGTTGAACACCAATACAGGCAAACATGAACTGCAGCAAAGTGGTGACGATGACGATGTTCCCGATGGTACGGATGGCTACAAACACACACTGGACCACATGCTGTGGATGCAAACAAAGCTCTCAATTAAAATAAATGCTCAGCGCATCCAGCACACTGAATGGAAAGAGTAGGTCAGAGTCATCTGAACAGATTTTTGTGTGAATGAGAGACTCACTTTGAGGCCCTTGGCTCTGTTGATTGCTCTCAGGGGCCTCAACACCCTCAGCACTCTGAGAATCTTCACTACATTAATGGCACTTGACCTGTGAATCACAGCACAGTTTGGCACCACCAATCAGAACGGCTAATTACTGATCACGTGACAATACTATACAGAGAAGCAGATGCCACACACACACACACACACACACACACACACACACACACACACACACACACACACACACACACACACACACATATAGATATATAGATATATATGTAAAACTTATACCGGTATAACTTTTTATTTTATTTTATTTCGATTTTTTAATAGTTGTAGTTGTAGTTAACAATAACAACACTGAATTGGTGGACATAAATAGCATTTGATTGGACATTGGTATTAAAAAGGGTGACAATTGAATATGTTATTTGTGACATGAGAAGCAGTAGTACTAGTTAGTTTGTCAGTTAGTTTGGCAAAAGATACTTACTGAATGCACTCTGAGAATCTTCACTACATTAATGGCACTTGACCTGTGAATCACAGCACAGTTTGGCACCACCAATCAGAACGGCTAATTACTGATCACGTGACAATACTATACAGAGAAGCAGATGCTCACGGACAGCAGTGGAGTTTGGATACATTTGATTAAACGCACTAATGAAATAAAAAAAAAATTACGTTGGCACCAAAGACAAATAATTCCGACAAAATGAACCCTTATGTAGGAATGCTCCATACGCTGTCATCTGAGAGGAACAGTGGACAAATGGAGAGTCAGTGAGGAATTAGATGAGTATGAAAAACACATAGAAGGCTGTAGTAGGAAAGATATTATTAGCATGAAATGAACTGGGACACTTAAATTCTAACTTAATTGTTCTAAAAATTCTAATCTAAATTAAATAAACGTAAATTTACCTTTAATATGATCTCTATGGTGAAGATTCCTGTAAACACATAATCTGCATAGCCTAGAATCTAGCAGAGAAAAAGAAAGACACGCACATATCAAAGCCTCATAACAGCAGCGCTACAAAAGTGATGTACATGTCAGTGTGTGTCTGTGTGTACCTGATTCCTGAATGAGTCATTATTCACTGGGTCCTCCGCTGCCAGTGAAATACTGCTCAGCAGTATAAAGAACAGGATTAAATTGGTGAAGATGTTGTGGTTTACAATCTTATGACACAAAACCCTGAACCTACAGAAGAGAGAGAGTGGAAAAAAATGGGTTTGAGAGACTGTTTTGGGTTTGGATTTTGAAAACATCCTAAATAACATAACCCACTGATGTGGAAATCAAGGTCTATAAGTGTGTATGTGGTTTTCATACTTGTTAGTGGCGCTGAAAATAAAGAAAGCTTTGGCTTCTGGCATGGGGACAGCTTTCTCCTTCAGCTGAATGTCGGAGAGTGGACGTGGACGAGGACCTACTGGCATCTCTGGCTCCTCATCATCCTCCTCTCCTGCTGAAAAGAACAAACAAGAGAGACTTTTCGGAAAGAATTCCATGCATCATCCCTCAACATTTCCACGCACGTCTTTGCATTACTGTAAAAAAAAAAATGAAGATGACACAGACCAGGAAATGTGTTGAACTTGGGGGAAATCAACAAGAGTAAAAAGAAGGATCTTTGCTCAACCGAAAAACAATCCACATGGAGTGCTCCCAGAGCTGAATAAAACAGGCCTGGGCTCTTCTGTGGAATTGCTTTCGACTGTTTCTTCAGTTTTTTAATGAAAAGGCAGCATTATTTTTAACACTTTCTCTTAACACACCTGGGAAATCGTTCACAGGATATGGATTCTTCTCCTCATTCTCCTCCCCTGTGTACTCATCTATGTTGATCTAAAATCAGAAGGCAAACAATAAAAAGCAATTTTAAAATATTTTTATAATATTATACATTTTTAATAATTAAAAAAATATTTATTTATAAGGTAATTAAAAAGATTAATTAATTATTACAAACAAACAGTTTGCATCTGTAGATGTCTACGTATTTGTGTCTGTGGTCTATATGTCATTTTTTAAATTTCAGAAAACAATATTTTAAATATTAGTGTCTTTTTTCATGTTTTTGTTGCCACTCCATGCTGTGCAGCTCATTTGCATTTAAAGAGACATGCACGAAAACAGTGTGTTTCTGCTTCCACTCAAAATGAAATAATAAATGATCTGTGGGGTATTTTGAGCTGAAACTTCACAGACATATTCTGGGGACACCTGAGATTTATATTACATCTTGTAAAAAGGGGCATAATAGGTGCCCTTTAATCTGTGTTTCTATGTGGCCTCTTGATAGTGACCTTATTGGCAGTTGGCGTCTCTCCATCAGAAGTGATGGATTTTAGTTCAATCTTTTCCTCTTTCTTTTCATCCTCCAGAGGTGGTTTCTCAGAGTCCTGACGCTTCTCGGGACTGGCCGTTCTGTAAGACAGAAATTGCGTCCCACTAAGCACCTGTATTTACAGCTCTTCAGAGGGGCAAAAACACTTCTGTAAAATTAAACTTAATTTTCTCAATGTTAAATTAATGAAGTCATAACCGATACACTTAATGAGCTCATTAAGCAGGGGGCAGGAAATCTTCATAGGAAGGTTTTACAGGCCCTCAGACCATCTCAAAGCATTGCACTCATGTGAACTGTGAGTCACTGTACCTGGCCAGCTTCTTCCTCTCTTTCTCCTCCTCTTCCTCTTTCTGCGCTGATGTCAGACTCTCGGCGTCTGCCAGATTGTCCACGGCAATGGCCAAGAAGACATTCAGGAGGATGTCTGTTTAGAGTTCAGGAGCGTTTTGATCAGTTTTATAATCAACACTTTTATTTTGTGTCACATCGTTGTGTTAAACAAGTTTTCTTTAGGATACAGTTTCCACAGATGAAGAGGATGATGAAATAAATGCAGACAAGCATGCCAGGAAAGGAGGGTCCACCGTACGCCATGATCCCATCATACATCACAGAGTTCCAGTCCTCTCCGGTCAAAATCTACAATCACAAAATCAAACATGGGTCAGGTTTGAAGACGCATGAAAAGTGTGTCCTGTGGTTCAGACTGTGGCAGAACCTGAAAGACGGTGAGGAGAGACTGGGGGAAGTTATCGAAGGTGCTGCGGCGCGTCTCATCAAAGTTGAACTTGCCACCAAAGAGCTGCATTCCGAGCAGACTGAAGATGATGATGAACAGGAAGAGCAGCAGAAGCAGGGATGCGATAGAACGCACCGAGTTCAGCAGAGATGCCACCAGATTACTGAGAGAGTTCCAGTACCTGAGAGAGAACAGACAGCATTAATACAAAGTCACACCCCACAGTTAACAAAACACATGTCTTTAAAGGGATAGTTCACCCATAAATTCTATCTATAAGTTTTCTTTGCACACAAAAACATTTACAATAACATTACGGTTGAACCCCTGATGTCACATGGACTATTTTATCAATGTCCTTGTTACGTTTCTGTGCTTTGATTGCGTTAGGACCCTTGCTGTCTATTCAGAGGTCAGAGAGCTCTCGGATTTGATCAAAAATATCTTAATTTGTGTTCCGAAGATGAATGAAGGTCTACCGGTTTTGTAACGACATGAGGGTGAGTAATTAATGACAGAATTTTCATTTTTGGGTGAACTAACCCTTTAACACATACCTGGTGATCTTGAAGATGCGGAGCAGACGCACACAGCGCAGCACAGAGATGCCGAGGGGTGACATGATCTTGATTTCCACCAAGATAGTCTCCAGAATTCCACCGCACACCACAAAACTGTCAAAGCGGTTAAAAAGGGAGACGAAATAGGCCTGTAGGCCCAGGCTGTACATCTTCAGCAGCATCTCACCAGTAAAAAGAGCCAGCAACACCTTATTGGCGATTTCTATAAACACAGACACAACACATCCATTCACTATGAGATTTATTTTGAATACAGAGACACAGAGAAGAAATTAATACTTTAATTAGTACTTAAAATAATCAGAAATGACAGTAAAGACATTTTATAATGTTAAAAACATATCACGGTTTCCAAAAAAATATTAAGCTGCATAACTGTTTTCAACAATGGCAATAATATAATATAATATGAAATGTTTCTTGATCACCAAATCAGCATATTAGGCTGAAGGATCATGTGACACTGAAGACTGGAGTAATGGCTGCTGAAAAATCAGCTTTGCCATCACAGGAATACATTACTTTCGAAAATATATGAAACTAATAGAAAAACTTTTTAAATTGCAATACAATATTACAGCTTTCATTTTAAAAAGCGACCCCAGACATTTGAACATTTCTGTACATCGAGTATGTCTGTGGGAAAAAAAAAAAATATATATATATATAGTGTGACATCACACAGCATAATCACTGCATTATTTACTAAAATAGCTAAAGTAGTTATTAACAGAACGTCCTTGGTTGGCTAAGTTCCTTAGTGTAGACAAATCAAACCAAGGTTCTGTTATCAATTACGTAACAACATTAGATGGGGTTTTTTGAGATTGGATGGTCACTGCTGAGCTCTGAGAGATACAAGATATGGGAGTCATAAAAGTAAGCTTCGCCAAAGACAACTAATCAAAATATAAAGTACATCACACATACACTTTTATAAATATTTGACTGCTCAAGGCTGCATTGCTTTATATTTCAGTAGCAAGATGATTGTATATTGAAATATATACGCTATTGTAGAGTTGAGTACCTTGCACATTGGTGAGCCATTCTGGCTGCTGGTGGTGCTCAGAGGCAATGGTAAGTGTGTTCAAAAATACCAGGAAAATCACCAGCCAGTAGAACACATTTGACTTCACTGCTGCACGGCACGTGCGCCGACATAACCGATTCCATCGGCGTGAATATCGACTGCAAAACAAAGACAGAGAGACAGAGAGAGAAATAGAATATAAAACATTCCAAATTCAAAGTCTGTACAATCTGACTCCATTCTTACCAGCCGGGATAAATATCCTTTCAGTATTCACTAAATGCACTTTCTGGAAACATTACAACTATGTGTGTTTGTACTGGCAGTGATTGAAAATGCTGCTGCTCTCAATTCTTTTGGCATCTGTAGCAAACAAATCTAACCTGAATAACACTGGCAGTCTGAACTTGTTAATGGATGTTCAGCCACTGATCAGAGGGCAACCGTGATGATCAAAACACAACACTGGCATTGAAACACAACAAACACACACACACACACATATATATGAAGAGCAGTAAGGAAGGCAGCCTCGCCTTCAGACGGTATGTAATGTACTAACCTGAATTTGGATTTGGAGATCCTATTTCTGGAATGGAAAACAGACTGTATTATACATACAGAACAGACACGACATCATGAAGGACAGTGTTTCCACAGAGACAGCAGAACTGGGAGGGCAGTCAGGTGGGCCTGATCATACATCATCACTACTTCAGAGTGCCCCCATGATGATGAGCAGGAGCAACTGAGTGCCACCCACATATGATAGATAGATAGATAGATAGATAGATAGATAGATAGATAGAAACATCACACTGTGTGTTGCATTGCCTTGACAAATGTTGTTTTCAGCAAAGACTCATCATTTACAGTGATACATTTTTGTTACATTCAACTTGTGATATGTAAATTAAACAGTTCTTATGATTTAACTGTTCACAGATTTTTAATATCCGTGGGAATGTTTATATATAATTACTTTTATGGCTGTGTATTGCATGAATGTTCATGTCTGTGTTTGTGACATAAAACACTGATCACTAACAGGGCAGATCAGCTGGAAAACAGACGACAGCAACAGATGCACAGAGAAAAAAAAAAACGACACTGAAGATCACGGGAGTGCCAGGAGCCGCCCACTGAGCCCTGCTGACCTCGCCTACCAGCAAACCATTTAAAACTAGCTCTCAACCTTACATCTCTGTAAACGTCTGAATACTGAAAAGAGTATGTCTGAAGAGAATTAAGCATGGAGGGAAATAAAAATTAAGCAATTGAGGAATTAGAGGAGAAGAGATGATCAGGAAGGAGAACAGAAGGGGAAGGAGAAAAGAGGAGGAACGGGATGCTGTGTGGACTTACGCCATGCGAGTACAGCAGGTCTCTCCCTCCATGTCTCCAGCTGGAGCATTATCAGTGTTCACTGACTCATTTTCACTGGCCGGCATACTGGAAAGAGAGGGAGAGAGAGAGTGCGATGAATTACCAGTAAAAGAAGATACTCATTGCTCATCAAAGGCTGGTTTCACACACACACACAAACTGACTTTAAACCTCTAAAGGACACTTACTTGAGCTTTTACACTGGCACACTGACAGCAGAAATGACCAGGGTTCAAAATCAACACTTACCAATTGACAAATGTAGGTAAAAACTGGCCTTGAGAGGCAAGTAAAATGTAGTTTTAACATAATGCATATAACATAACACATAAATCTAACCATACAATAATCTGAACCTTACTAAATGAGGTGACGGTTGACTAAAGAAAACATATCTGCTATGACTTTTGCATTTATCTAAGGTGCCTATAGTTTTTTACATATGTAAAATATTCCTCACAGCAAGCCACCAAAAAGAACACATTAGGAACCAAATTACAGTGTTTGTTCACAATGTTTGTGACAGGTGCAGTTTTACTGAGAAACAGATTAGATTGTTTTGTATATGATGCTTCAAGAAACACGAAGCTGTTTGTCACCAATAAAAAAAAGCCTAAATGACAAATTCAGCTGTTAAAAGCTGTCAAAAGTATAATAAAATCATAATATAAAAACATAAAACGTGCTAAATTATACCTGTTAAACAGGTATAAAGAAAAAAGATAGAATCAATAACATATGTAAAGAAAGTTGTTACTGAGCCAGTTCTTATTAAATAGACTCAGCAGTCTTGATGACAGCCAGCATATCCATGCTCAGATGTGACCTTTAATGTTTAATATGGACCATATGTGAGATTGTCTGCCCCAAAACGTGTTTGAAAAGAATCAAATACCACATTTCATCAACACACACATATACTGTGTGCCATGGGTGTTAAGCCTGTGAATCGATCTTAAATTAAACTAGACCTCAAACCCAGAGAATTATAAAACACAATGATTTGGATGGGTTTATTCAGATTTCAAAACAAAACGAAGTTGGACAAATTTACCCAAATACATCATGTAAAAGACTCAAAAAAATGCTAATCTACCAATCAGCATGCAGGCCTACAATTCCATCTCATTAACATGCACAGGGGGCGGGGTCAAGCAGGGTCTCTAAATTCCATGCTGCATTTTCATTGGCTCTGATCTTTTCCCCTAATTCTATTTCTTAATTAAAAAAAAAAACACATTATCATCCAGACTACACCACCCTTGGAAATGGGATTATGGGATTATGTTTGATCGGATATTCCGAGACAGGATTACAGATGTCGAACAGTGACATTACATCATCAGTATGCTGATGATGTATTGTGAAAATTGATGTGTTTAAAATGAAATGAATATTACTCTTGTAATTTGTAATTAAGATAAAATACATAACGTAACCACTCTAAACAAATCTGAAGTAGATGGGAGTGAAGCAACATAAGTCAGGAGAAAAATGTCCACAATACTTTGCAATCTATTTCTATTATCATCTCACAATGGCTGTTAAAGAGAAATCACAACCTCATAGTCAGAACTATCTGAACCATGGTGTGCAAAGCAGAACTGTTTCTATCTAGGCATCACATGCAGATCACATTGGAACAGAAACCC